AAATTAAAAAACCTTTCAAATAAACATTTAATTAAAAACCATAATTTCTAGAAAAACCGTGCTGTGAGAGAATTTAATAGGCAGACCTAATTTTGATTGATAGGTAAATGAAGGTGTCACCCGGAGAATGAGATTTAAGCTGAGACTCCCTCGAAGAATAAGCAGGAGAGAGGCAGGGAGTGGGAGTATCAGGGAGCAGCATGCATAACCGGGCCAGAGGCAGGAAAGAGCAGGTAAGTTTTAAAAAGTGAGAAATACAACGTGGCTGAGGCATAATGAGCAAGAAAGCAAACAGCAGCAGATAAAAGTAGGAGAGGTGGTAAGTTGGGATAAGGAGTTCATATTGTAGCCCGAGTGCCATCCAAATCACCGACGCGTTAAGCAGATAAATAGTATGAAGATACAACAAAAATGCATTCTAAAAATGTCACATCGACAGCTTTGCTGAGACTGATTTGGAGAAGGGCAAAATTGCAAGCAGGAAAACAGGCTAAAAGTATATCATAATGGTTAAAGGCAATGATGATGCTGGCTTGGCCTACAGTGGTAAATTTATTACACAGATAGAGAGAAGTGAGTGGATCTGATCAAATTAGGAAGCAATGAAGGAACTCTCATAGATCTGTTTCAGTGCATTATTTAAGGCAGAATTCTGATGCTGTTCATTGAAGGTAAGGAAGTAGAGAGTCAAAGGAGCTAAACTTTAAACAAAAAAAACCCTAGTGCTAGGAAATGGAGAGGGGGAAGTAGGTATCAGGGCCCCTTGGGGCCAATGAAGGATTTTTATTCAAACATCTATCCAGCTATCCATTCATTCACTTTCAGGTTCTGAGTGACTGACGAATATATATATATATATATATTTTCTGGAGAGAAAAGTAGGGTGGAAACTGAAAAACTGAACAGGCAACAGAACAAGAGAACTAAAGTAGTCAGGGGATAATAATGTCCCAAGCAGAGATAAGGAAATTAGCACTTAGCAGAGCAACTCACACACATGCACAAATGACACACACAAACACCAGTACAGCACAGTGGTTAAAAGCTCTGTCTATGAAGTCAGGATTCCTAGGTTTGAATTACGAATCTACTACTTACTGTGTAACCTTGGACAAGCTTCGCAGCCTTACTTGGCCTGTTTCATCATCCATAATGTGGAGTTAATAACAGTACAAATCTCACAGGGTTGTGAGGAAGTTGTGAGATGCTATGCGAAATTTGCTTAGCGTGGTCTCTTACACTAACTCCTCAATACATTTTGTTTCTATCGCTAATAACAACAATAGTAGTCACAGTAAATAAAATATCCCTCTTTCTGAGGTTTGATAGAGAATCTATATATATAAAAGCCTAATATGCAAAGTGTCCCCTCCAGAGTTCAACCGACCTGGAGTTTGATCACTCGCTAGGACATTGTGCTGACCACCAGGGGGCAGCACAGGATGAAGGAAGGCCCCAGCTGGCACACGGCAGCCTGGGATGGGAAGCCCCAGCCAGCAGCCAGCATCTGCTAGGGGCCCTACTTGTGTGCAAATTTCATGCACTGGGCCTCTAGTAAGTCAGTAAAAGACATTGTAGGTAGAGATACCATTGTAGGGAGAAGAAATATTGGAGGCTCTGAAGCCAAAGTGCATGGAAGAGATTAGGTTGCTTGTAGTAAGTGAAAAGAATGCAGAGGGGAGGGAGAAGACTTGAGGAGGGCAGGTAAGAAATGATAGAGCTGCTATAAAAAATGAAAGACCACTGAATAGAAACAAGTAAAATAACTGCTGAAATGGCAATGAGAGCCCTGCTGAGGTAAAAGCTAAAATGTCATAAAGACACCAATTCAGTGAGTGCACCAAAGAGAACAGGGATATATAAAGCCAGAGAGTAAGAGGTGGGATGAGAAGGCTAAGGAGAGTGGGTTTTATTCTGTAAATTCTGGGGGACACTGAAGGTTTTTGATACAGATGTCGTAAAATGACTAGAGATTTTAAGAAGACTACGCTAATCGCTTTCATGGGGGAAGAGATCAAAAGCCTCTCTTCTCATTAGTGCAGATGATTCTACACATTTCCAAAGTTGTCCTAAATGTAGCTTTTTGATCAAATTGGATGGTTAAAGGGTATTTGGGTATAGCCACACAGAAGTGAATTGAATTTCGACACAGACCAGGAGAAATATATTTTAACATAATTTTCACTTTTATAGATCTAAAATATGCTAGTTTCAATCTCAGGCTTCCACTTGGGTTTAATAATTGTCCTATAATTCAATTTAATAAGCATTTATCAGTTGCCTATTGTATATAAGACTTGTCCTAATCACTGCCAAGCATACATGCTTAAAAGACTGAGGCATAATATTATCTCAAATACCTTTTACAATATATAAGACTAGAGGCCCAGTGCACGAATTCATGCATGGTGGGCCAGCAGGCCCCTCCCCCAAATGGGGTGGGAGGGTCTATTGGGGATCGGCAGCTATGGGAGGTTGGCAAGTCAGCCCCACTCCCGATTGGAGTACGGGGGGCTGACCGAGGGCAGAGATGGCTGAGGGGAGGGGCCACGGGCTGATGGGGTGCTGGGGCCCATTGGGGATGGTGCCGGCCAGGGGGAGTGGCCTCAGGTAATTGGCCTGCCAGCCCTGCCCCTGATTGGGGTGGGAGGGCCAATCTGGGTTGGGGCCAGGCAAGAGGAGGGGCTGCAGGAAGTTTGCTGCTGGTCCTCTCCCCTATTGGTGTAAGGGGGGCAATCAGGGGTGGAGCCAGCTGGAGGGAGGGGCTGTGGGCCGATCAGGGTGGTGGGGGCCTACCGGGGGCAGGGCTGGCTGGGGGAAAGGCCATGAGGGGTTGGCCAGCTGGCCCCACCCCCGGTAAGGCTGGCTGGCTAGCCGCAGTGGGCATCATAGCAACCGGTCGTTACAGCATTCGGGTCACTGGCTTTTTATATATATAGATGATCTAGACTTTATTTGGCAAATACTGATTGATACTGCCTTAGAAAATTCCCATAGCACAAACTACTTTGTAATGTCCTTGACGTTTTTCCCTCCAGACATGTAGCTATGCATGGGGAGAGTAAATAAGAGGACCAGGTGACTTCGTGTACACAGCGCAATGATTATTTGGGTTAGGTGCATAAACAAGAAATCTCTTCCATTTTCTATTTTGCTTTAAGTTCAGAAGGTATATTGCTTTTTATGTCCCCAAACTTCATTTTAACAGTGTGGTACCAAGGATATGCCTCTTGAAGGACTTGCTTGGAAAACTAATACATCTTCCAAGATAAACTACATTCAGAAAAAAAATGGCTTCAGAGAAATTGTGTGGTGTACCTACTGTAAAACTCATCACCGTCTGACACAGCTGAATTCTCAGATGGTACACAGCCTAGCTTCAATTACAATAAGAATTCAAGCAGCTTAGGTTTTAAGTATGAACTTTGGTCTAGAAAACTTCAGTATTTAACACTGCACTAAAGTGCTGCTATTTAATAAATAATATTTAGCCAGGTCAGATTAATTTACCTAAATCAAAAATGAGAGAAAGATCTTCCTCAGGCACATTTACATGTTCTATCCCATCCCAAATATACAGTCCTGATTTGCTTTCCAAGGATTTGAAAGAATTCTCCTATATCAGTGTATGCAATACCATATCTGAGAATTAATAAACTCTAAATAAGGGCAAGCAGTTAATGCACATGTTCAAAAGGAACATTCTCTGTCCCATCTATCACATTGAGACTTTAAACAGGATTTTTAAATTGCAAAGTACCAAATCGGATCAATTCAGATATATGACTATTAAAAGGGTTATAAAATATTTTGGATGAAGCTGACACTGTGTTGGGCTATTAGGTCTGATGGTAATTTGAAGTCTTCGCAGGCAGATGGAAACTGTTCAGGGAGCAGGGGAAAGCTGGCAGCTGTACTAGAACTGCTTAATCCTATAGCCAACAAACTTGTATTGTGCATCTAAATCAAAAACAGCTCTTCCTCTGAGAAATTAAATAAATCATTATGCCCTCTTTCCTACCTTTTTTTGGTGGCAATTATTTGAATAGCATATTTGGGGAGTACTTAAAACATATAACTGTATTCTTTAATACATAATGTATACCTAGCCATCATTTGTACCCCTTAAAATAAAGAGGGGATAAGTAAACATAATACATTCCAATAGTGATTTAACCTCATTAAAGCATAATGTGTATTTAGGAGATTCTTTTTCCACTTGAAACAGTGTATTTAAAACCTTTAATGAATTAATGACACTCTATAGGAAATATAAAAATTCTTGTGCTTTTTCTGACATAATATATACCACCACAAAAAAGTCCAAAATGTTGTTAACTATGTAATTAGTACCCTTTTTATTAGCTTAAATTTGGGGGGGGGGGTGCAAACTTCTATCATTAAGATCCAAATAGAAAAAAATATCCAATATAATTATACATATACTATTTTTCATATACTAATTAAATAGCAGAACTGGTATGGAGCACTTCCTATGAAATATTTTGAAATATTTTATAAGATATAAATATTAATTCCTGTCCAGTGTGGCTCAGTTGGTTGGAGCATTGTCCCATAGACAAATGGTTGCAGGTTTGATTCCCAGTCAGGGCACATAACCAGGCTGTGGGTCGGATCCCCGGTTGGGTTGCTTGGGTTCCGTATAGGAGGCAACTGATCTGTGTTTTTCTATCACATCTACATTTCTCTCTCTCATTCTCTACCTTCTTCTCTCTAGATACAAAATAATTAAATGTTTAAAGAAAATAAATATTAATTTCTTTATTTTTCAATGCCATGACAAATAACAAACAAGGAGGGTCATTTGTTTGGGGTTTTTTTTTTTTTTTGGTTGTTTTTTTGCCTGATAGCCAATATTATATTAATTATGTAGCTATATAGTAAAACAAAAGTCCACAATTGAACTGTCTTTCTTTTCACTCTTTCTGATAAGTGTTACCTCCAAGTTGAGTTTGTGAGCCCTTGTGCTAGATACGTACCACAGCTCCAAATTGTTCAGGCTCACAAAGGTCATCATACTCATTCTTCAGCTGCGCTAATTCATTGAGAACCTTCTGCTCTGGAAGATATTTAACAAGGTTCTAAAAAAATAAAAGTATATATGTTTAGTATTTTATTAGAATTATTAAACATGCATTAACAACTCAAAAAGTGATAAAATAGAATAGATACATTTCTGATTGTGGTTCTGTTATAGTACTAGTTTCCACCCCTCTTCCTAAAATAACTTAACAAAAAACAAACAAACTATAATTTAATGTGAATATATATAGTTACTATGCACTAAATATAAAAGTTAAATAAAAAGATCATATAACAATAAATGACATCACATAGCATTAAACTGACCAACTTTCAGGGTCTTAAATCTATAACATGATTTTTAAGCTTTATTTTCTATCATAATAATTAACAAAAATACTATGAAGACATTAAATCATGTGCAACAACAATAATAAACCAAGTGCACTCTTCATAACTGGCAAAATTTGGAATCATTTTCAGTCTTATAAACCCACAGTAAACCTGTAAAAAAAATCACCCATTATTCACAATTCTATATTTAAATACATAATGCATTCCACTTTAATGAAGACTCAATCAAAGTGATGAAGTCTGATGCATGCTAAAGTCTGACTCATAAGAGACTCACAATTGATTAATTCATATATATAACATATATATTGGAATTGAACCTGGGACCTTTCAGACCACAGGCCAACGCTCTATCCACTGAGCCAAACCGGTTTCGGCACAATTGATTAATTCTTATCAACCTGGTTTATTTTGGACTTTGGTACAATTCTAATTATTATTGCATTAGCCTGCAACCAACCTATTGGGAACTTGTGTGGGATTTCAAAAGACATATGAAAAGGAAAAAAGTAAGAAACAAAGAATTAAGATGGTAAGGATTGACACAGATTGGCAGAGAAGGAAGTTCCAGGGATTAGTCCTACAGCAACACCACCACTGAGCTAGAAAGAGTGATTTAAATAAACTATTTCAGAACTCAGGCACCTGACTGAATATTTACAACAAGGTAAGTGTTTCATGAAGAAAGTCACTGCTCTCTGTTACGAGAATGACATGTACAAAACGGGTACCATTTTCCATTCCTCAGCATCACTGTGCGGATAGTTCCTGGCTGATGCCAGGGTAGGCAGGAGGGCCTCGTTCTCTAAAATTTGAAGCTATACGTTTTGCTTGGCTTGGCAACCCCCTGAAGGAACAGTGAAAATGTCTGCCTTGGTGTCTACCCTTTTGGGTCGCAGCAGCTTTCACTACTGGCATCAATCAGACGATCTGAATAGACAGAAACAATTCCCCTGCAATTTGGAACCAGATCACTGGCTGACACCAGTGATAATAAAACCCAAACTTCAGTGACCACACACAAGGAAAGTACACTTTGCAAAAAGTGTTTAGAAACGTCACAGATATCTATAGACCTTAGCAAATAAAAATAAGCTGTCTGTAAGGAGTGAAAGAATCAGATTTCCAGGTTATAATAGACTCAAATGTCAGTTCTCAACAACAACAAAAATTACAAAGTATGCAAAACAAAACCAAAAAACAACCAGAAAAGAATTGCCTATGCTCAGGAAAAAAGAATTTGACAGAAACTCCCCCTGAAGAAGCTCAGACTTTGGAGTTACTAGTCAAAAAGTTTAAATCAACTGTCTTAAATTGAATATACTCAATGCGCTAAAAGAAACTATGCACAAATAATTAAAGAAACCAGAAAAATAATGTGTGAATTTAATGAGAATATCAATAAAGACAGAAGATATAAAAAGAAATCAAACAGAAATTCTGGAGGTGACAAATACAGTAACTGAAATGAAAAATTAACTTAAGGGATTCAACAGCAGATTGGAGCACACAGAAGAAAGAATTAGTGATGTGAAGATAGGAAATTAAAAAGATCCAGTTTGAGGAGAAGAAAAAAGTATAAAGAAAAATAAACAGAGCCTGAGGGATGGGTGGGATACCATCAAGCATACGGACATGTGCATCACAGGATTCCCAGGAAAAAAGGAAAGGGACAGAAAAAAATATCCCCAAATCTGATGAAACATTAAATACACACATCTAAGAAGCTCATCAACTATAAGCAGAATATCCAACAGGTTCACACTAGGTACTTTCTAATCAAGTGGTCAGAAATAAAGAAAAATAATTTTTAAAGCAGTAAGAAATAAATTGTTACATTCAAGGGATTGTCAATAAAATTAATATCTAATTTGTTCCATGGGAGCCAAAAGGTAGGGGAACAACGTATCTGAAGTCCTAAAATAAAAAAAAATTAAAACTTTCAACCAAGAATTCCATATCCATAAAATACACCGTCCTTCAAAAATAAAGGAGAAACTACGACAATCCCAAATTAACAAAATAAAACTAAAAACAGATAATTTATTGCTAGCAAGTCTGTCCTGCAAGAAATACTAAAGGAGGCCCTATAAGCAGAAATGAAAGAACACTAAACAATAAATCAAAGACATAAAAAGAAATAAAAAGTGATTATAGAGGTAACTACATAGGTAAATATAAAATCCAATGTTATTGTACTTTCGGTTTATAACTCCTGTACTTCTTTCTGTATAATTTAGAAATCAAATGCATAAAATAATAATTATAAATCTATGTTGATGAGCATGCAATGTACTAAGATGTAATATATTAAAACAATAGTACAAAGGGGAGGGAAAATAAATATATAAGACCAGAGTGTTTACATATTGGTGGTTTCTCAGAAATCAAACAGAATTACTTTTCAACACTCAAGATTAAAATAAACAAACTAGCGATTACCATACGACCAAACAATTCCATCCCTAGGTATATACCAAAAAGAACTGAAAACAGTTGCTGTGGGTCTCAAACAGATACTTGTACACAAATGTTCACATCATCATTATTCAATAGCTAGAATAATAGGTTTGTCTACCGACATATAAATTAATCAAATGTGGTATATATCCAAAGAGATATTATCCGGCCAAAAATGAAGTTTTGATACATGCCAAAGCATGCATGAACCAAGGATGATAGAAACAAAAGGACAAATATTGCATGAATCCACATACATATGGAATCTAAAAGAGACAAATTCTTAGAGTAGAATAGAGGTTACCAGGGCCTGGGGACAGAGGGAAATTGGGAGTAACTGCTGAACAAGTATACTGTTTCTGTTTGGGGTGATGAAAAGGTCTGGAAATAGTGATGATGGTTGAACAACAATGTAAATATACTTAATGTCAAAAATTAGTAAATGGTAAATTTTATGTTATAGATTTTTCCACATAAAAAAAATGAATAGGCAACATATACCATGAGTCCCAGGGGAAACAACGGTATCATGTTCTACTCTAAGTGCTTTTTTGTTCTCTCCATTTATCCCTTATGTCCTCCCACTCAATGTTGCATTTCCATTAAGCTCTAGCCCAGTGGTTCTCAACCTTGGCTGCACATTAGAATCACCTGGGAATCTTTTTAAAATCCTGATTTTTGGGCCTCATCCTCCGGAAATTGTTTCTTTGTTACTAATGTTGTAGCCCCACCCCATAACAAAGAAACAGAATTTCTGGAGGATGAGGCCCAGAAATCAGGATTTTAAAAAGATTCCCAGGTGATTCTAATGTGCAGCCAAGGTTGAGAATCACTGCTCTAGACCTTCAATGCACCCATTCTGTAACTAATGAGACTAAAGATTTAAAATATCATGTCCTCTGACTTAAAAGAAATACTGATATTGATATAATAACACATATCTATAATCCAAGAAAATTAAGAACATCTATTATTTTGTATCACTAATATCATTATCTTGCATAGAATAAAACTTTATTTCCATCTTTACAGAATATTTTTGATACAGGTAAATATACATGTAAATTATTCACTTGTTTTGTAAAATTGTTCTCTTTTAATGTTTTTTCCCCTGAAGTATGTTATTAAGAAAAACAAAGAATCAGTTTGGCAACTTGCCTAATTTTTACTATTGGTTAACTTAGGAAGATGAGGAACATTATTTAAAATTACAAAAAATTATCAATTCTGTATACTTTAAATGTTCCGTTTCAATTTTAAGTTTTAACTGTATCATAGAATGAATCAAGCTGAAAATAAAATTTTAGCTCAGAATGTGAAATTTGTTGCTTTGTTTCTCTTCTAGCTATAGGTAATCTGTTGACTCATCTTCAGGATGTAAGCTCCACCGTAGGTAACATCTTTTCTTTCTCTGTTCAGTTCTAGAAAATATTTAATGCATTTAGTGGGCTTAGATGTATTGTGATTCTGGATACTATTTTGTGGCTGAGTCACAAGCTTATATAACTGCCAGTGCTTAGAAGGTTCTACAGTGGGGCCTTGACTTATGAGTTTAATTCCTTACGTGACGGAGCTCGTAACTCAAATTACTCGTATGTCAAATCAATTGTGAACGAGTGAGACACGTGATGCTGGGCTGATGTTGTGGCATTCACTGTGACATTCGCTGCACCAACTAGCGGTGGGGTATCTGAAGCTGGCTCGTAACCCGAATTTTATCTCGCAACTCAAAGCAAAAAATCAGCAGAGAGACGGCTCGTATCTCGAAAAACTCGTTAGTCGGGACACTCGTAAGTCAAGGCCCCACTGTATTTGCAAATAGGATTGGAAAGAAACTCATTATCTCACAGGTGTAACAGACACCAACTACCATTATGCTACTTAGTGCTTAGTGAGTCAGCTACCTCTAGAATCCCATCTTACAAGTGGCATCATAGCCAATGCTTAAATATACCTAATGTTTACATACAGACTAGACTTTATAAACAAAGATGTTGTATAAGATTGGACATTACTATGTTTTTATGCCCATAAATTCCTGAATAGAAGAGGAAGGTTAAGAAGACAACAGACCCCTGGCCAGGTGCTCAGTGGTTAGAGCATCGGCCTTTGGACTGAAGGTTCATGGGTTCAATTCCTAGTAAAGGGCACATACCTGGGTTGCAGGTTCAATCTCTGGTTCTTCCCTAGTCAGGGCACTTGCAGGCGGCAATCAATCAATGCGTCTTTCTCACATGATGTTTCC